ATGAAAATTGTCTATTAAAGTGAAATTTTTTTTACCATTATGACATTTGTTTCCAATTCTAAAAAAAAAAAAAAAAAATTTCAACTAGTCGGGAAAATATTTTTCCACCAATAAGGCGTGAAAACATATTCTAAAACTCGGAAATTGCACACGTGTGGAGAAAATCCAGAAAATATTTTCCTTTGAAATTTTCGCCTATCAAACAACCAAAAAGTGGAAAGTGAAAAATATTTTCCTACTTTCTCGAAAAATGTGGCCTATCAAACACGGTCCTATTCATTGGTCATTTCCTTTGAATGTCACTGAATAAAGCTGTTGACAGAATTGCATTTCTTGATTATTTGATTGTGAAACTCACGCTTTGATCTGTCATGAGGCGATTTTTATTAGAAAAATCTTAACTACTTTATCTAGCTAATAATTACTAGGGAACAAAACATGGCATAAATTAATATTGCTTTCAAATAAATTTTACTAAAGAAATATTCTAAAAAGGTATAAATCGTAGATGTGAAACTTCAAGTAAAAAATTAAACAAGTCTCCTCTCTACTTTCTCTCTCTTAGAAGCAGAGGTGGTGCGAAGTTTCTTTCTTTTCTTTTTTGGGGATTTCTTCTTCGAGCAACCGGGTGAGCAGCAAAGGATCTCAAGAATTCTCACACTAGTCTCCACTCTTCTTTCTCTCTCTTGGAAGCAGAGGTGGTTTTTTTTAGGGATTTTCTCGTCGAGCATCTGGGTGAGTGCTACCATGGAAAAAGTGCAGGAAATGTGGGAAAACTTGCGATTGAACGCAGAGGAGGAAGAGATAGTTGACATAGACGGAAAAGGAGTCGCGACTGTGATGGAGAAGGGCGATCGGAGTCTAATAGGAAAGATTTGGGTTGAACGGAAGATAAATAAAGCGGTGGTTCAATCTACCATGGGGAAAATCTGGAGAATTAGCAAGCCGCAGAGTTTACTGAGATGGGTCGAAATATATTCATGATTACGTTTGCGAATCACGCGGACATGAAACGGGTGGAAGAGGGAAGACCATGGTTGTTTGATGGATCGATATTTGTGATGAATGCATTTGAGGGCTACACACCATTGAGTGAAATGCAATTTGATGTGGCGGCGCTGTGGGTGCAATTCCACAACTTACCGTTTGCGGGCATGTCAAGGGAGACTGGCATCAAACTAGGTAGTTCGATGGGCAATGTGGAGGATGTAGAAGTCGATGAGGACGATGTTGGATGGGGTAGTTCGCTGCGTGTGAAAATTGCATTGAATCTGCGAAAACCTTTGGCGAGGGGACGGATGGTGATGCTAGAAGGAGTAAAAACATGGGTACCAATCCAATATGAGAAGCTCCCATGGTTTTGCATAAAATGTGGACGAATCATTCATGAACAAGCTGGATGTCCGAAATCACTGGATCTGAACATGGGGGCAAAGCAATATGGTAGTTGGTTACGAGCAGAGGTAGGGAATCGCAAGTTTAGAGCTTTCCCTACATCCGGTACAAAGCCACCTGCTATGAATTTCGATACTACAGAGAAGAAACGAGTGGAGGAGGGTGGTGCCCACGACGGGATTCCGGTGCCGTATGTTGCTAATCAGGCTACTGGGATTACAGTTGTCAATAGCGAAGTTGGCGGGATGGTGCTAGATGTATCACCGAAACATAAGGAACTAACTGCTGAAAATCTGGAATTGGCGGAAAATGAGCAATTGAATGCGTTGAACGGGGGATTGCATGCGGATTCTGAGGATGAGAATTCTAACAAAGGCAACGTGCTGTGTGATAAGGTGATTGGGCCACCTATTGACCAAATGGGCTTGGACCAAGTTAAAAATTTAAGCCCAAACGCAGAGGTAAGGCTGGGGACACAACATGAACTAAAAATATGTAAAGCCCAGTCCACTTGGAAGAAACGAGCTCGTATAGGTACTGCTTCTCCAAATCTATTGACTGTGGCTGGGACAAAAAAGAGGACTAACGGTGCTTCTGAGGGTGAAAGTGCAGAGAAGAAACTTAAGGTACAACATGGCATGGAGAGAGACACGAATCAGATTTCAGAGGCTGAGTCTTCTGATTTCCAATCCTACAATTTTTTATCGGCAGAGGCTGTCCATCAGCCCTGCCGGGAACAATGAATGTCTTGAGCTGGAACTCCCGTGGGCTTGGGAACCCACGGGGAGTTCGGGTCCTCTCTGATTTAGTCAGAGAACAAGATCCCATAATCTTGTTTTTGCAAGAAACAAGATTACATGATCGTCGTATGTACCGGTTGAAATTTCGTTTGGGTTTTGATAACTGTTTTTCTGTTAGTAGTGAGGGTAGTAGTGGGGGAATTGCACTATTCTGGAAGAAGGATGTTATAGTGAGTATTAAAAACTTTTCAAAGAACCATATTCATGCAACAGTTGAGCTACACACAGATGAGTTATGGTATTTCACAGGAATGTATGGTCACCCGGTTGTTAGTCGAAGGATGGAGACTTGGAATCTAATGCGATCCCTCATGGTCCCTGGGGATATTGGATGGATGTTAATTGGCGATTTTAATGAGATCTTGAGTCAAGCTGAAAAGAGTGGAGGGAGAGATAGGCCGGATAGACAAATTCAGGATTTTAGATATGCTCTTGAGGATTGTAACCTTGCTGATTTGGGTTATCATGGCCCGAAGTATACTTGGAGTAACAACAGGGAAACAGGGGAAACAATCAGAAGTAGATTGGACCGAGGACTTGCAAATTTTAAGTGGAAATCTATGTATCCAACGGCTTATGTAAAGCATGGATTCGCCGCTTATTCTGACCATACCCCAATCTCCCTGTTTTTGCTTGATGACCTACCACAAAGGAGAGGAGCTAAGATCTTTTGGTTTGAAGCTATGTGGGTAACAGAAAAGGGTTGTAAAGAAGTGGTGGAAAAAGCTTGGAGGTTTGGTAATGCAACTAACGGAATGAGTGGAATCAATGCAAAACTTAAGTGTTGTGGTGAACATTTATCTGCCTGGAACCGCCAACACTTTGGGAATGTACACAAACAGCTGAAGCACGCCAAGATAAGTTGGAACGTTTGACTGAGATGAACCCGATTGAACAGTCTCAGGAGACACTAAAACAAGCTAGGCTGGAGGTGAATAAGTGGCTTGAGCGTCGAGAAATAATGTGGAGGCAGAGATCACGAGTCCTATGGCTAACCAAAGGTGATCAAAACACTTCCTTCTTTCATCATAAGGCATCACAGAGGCGATCCAAGAACTTTATAAAAGGTGTAAGGGACTCTGATGGTATTTGGAGAGCTAATGCAGAACGAGACGCCAAAATTCTGGATTATTTTCAGAACCTGTTCTCATCCTATAATGCAAGAGTCGATGTATAGTTCCTTGACAACCTGAGGGGGAGAGTAACGATCGAAATGAACGAAAAACTGGAATCAGTGTACACAGTTGAAGAGGTTAAACATGCCTTAACTGAAATGCATCCTACTAAAGCTCCAGGACCTGATGGTATGTCTCCCATATTTTTTCTAAAATATTGGCCTATTGTAGGAGAGGAAGTTACTGGTGCAGTGTTGAATGCTCTGAATAATGGCGTCTTCCCTAGATCGATAAATCACACTTTTATTACTCTTATCCCCAAGAAGAAACAAGCAGAGATGGTGTCAGATTACAGACCGATTAGCCTATGCAATGTGATTTATAAGTTGATTTCCAAAGTGCTAGCAAATCGGTTAAAGGGCATACTACCCGATTTAATCTCCAAATCACAGTGTGCTTTCGTCCCGGGGAGGTTAATTTCAGACAACATACTTGTGGCATATGAGCTAATACATTTTCTTAAAACCAAGAGAAAGGGGAAAGTAGGTTTTATGTCACTCAAACTTGACATGAGTAAAGCCTATGATCGCGTTGAATGGCATTACCTCCAAACAGTGATGGAGAAAATGGGATTTGGTGAGAAATGGATAAACTTGATAATGCTTTGTGTAAGAACGGTCTCTTTCTCGATTTTGATTAATGGTGAACCAAAGGGACCAATATATCCATCAAGGGGAATTAGGCAAGGGGACCCCATATCCCCTTATCTTTTCCTGTTGTGCAGTGAGGGATTGGTTTCCCTATTACAGAGAGCATCTGACCAAGGAAAGGTGGAAGGTATTAGAGTATGCAGAGGGGCTCCAAAGGTCAACAATCTCATGTTTGCAGATGATAGTGTCCTATTTTGCAAAGCTACTGTCCAGACCAACACATATGTAATCCAATTACTGGAGGAGTATGAACAGGCCTCAGGTCAAAAAGTGAACAGAGACAAGATAGCTATGGTATTCAGCAAATCTGTATCAACAAACAACCAAAGAGAAATCCTGAACTTTTGGGGCATCAAAAACCACCAGAATTATTAGCATTACTTGGGACTCCCCTCAATGGTGGGTGGGAATAGGAGGAAAGCTTTTTCAAATTTAAAGACAAAGGTATGGCAGAAATTACAGGGGTGGAATGAAAAGCTTTTGTCTCAGGGTGGAAGAGAAATTCTTGTTAAAGCAGTTGCACTTTCTATCCCCACCTACACCATGAGTTGTTTCAAGCTTCCAATATCTCTATGTAAAGAGCTTGAAAGTATGATTGCAAAATTTTGGTGGGGACAACGGAAAGAAGAAAACAAAATTCGATGGATAGGGTGGAAGTAGTTATGCGACACTAAAGGTAGAGGAGGTATGGGATTTAAAGACCTTCAAGCCTTCAATATGGCTCTCTTAGCAAAACAAGGCTGGCGAATCCTGCAAGCGGAAGGATCACTACTACAAAAGATATACAAAGTTAAATACTTTCCTCATGGACACCTCAAAGATGCAAAATTGGGAGCAAATCCATCCTATGCATGGAGAGGTATTTGGGAGGCAAGGAAGCTGTTATTTCAGGGCTGCAGATGGCGAATTGGTAATGGAAAGGAGATAAATATATGGACTGATCACTAGTTGCCAAACCATCGCCTTCTAAACTGCCCAGAGGGAATTAATACAGATCAAATCAACTGGACAGTTTCAAAGCTAATTGATGAACATACTCGACGATGGGATATGGATAAGGTGACCAGATTGCTTCACCCTAGAGATGCCTATGAAGTTTTCCAAATTCAACTAGTAGGAGGACATAACAGACCGGACGTCATGATTTGGGAACCAGAAAAGAATGGGATCTATACAGTTCGGAGTGGGTATAGGTTGTTTGTGAAGATTAATAGGGATAGGCAACTCGGTGAGGTGTCTTATGCTGATGATCAACGAAAAATGTGGAAGAAGATTTGGAAAATGCAAATCCCCCATAAGATACGTGTGTTTGCGTGGAGAGTGTGCCACAATGGGCTGCCAACACTCAGAAATTTACTGGCTAGGAAAGTGATAGAAGATGCAGTCTGCAAATTCTGCAACAAAGAGGAAGAAGATATAAATCATGCTTTATTATACTGCTCCAGGATTGAACCGGTGTTGGCAACAAAGCTGAGTTTCTTGAATACTACTTCTGAGCGGAGGGACATTGCACATATGGTCAATCTAGTCATAAGTAGAAACATCCCCGGTGAACTGGAGGAACTATTCTTATGCTTGTGGGGAATGTGGTATAGCAGGAACCAGTTCATCTTTGAACAAAAAATATTTTCTCCACAGATGGCTATTGATCATGCTCTTACAATTGCTGGAGAATACATATGTGCACATAAGCAAAGACAGCAAGGGACCCATCGTAGAGAAGGGTGGAGTGCTCCTCCGGAAGGAGTCTTAAAACTTAATGTTGATGGGGCCCTATTTGAGGATCAATGCAGATATGGGATTGGGATGGTTCTACGGGATGCAATAGGAAAGATGATTTTTTCAGCCAGTAAACCAGAGAGGGGCAGCATGGACCCAATGGAGGCAGAACTTCTAGCAATGTTGAGAGGTTTACAAATTTGCTTACCCTTGTCCATTCAGAATCTACTAGTAGAAAGTGATTCATTATTGGTGGTTCAAGAAGTGACAAAAGTACAAGATGAATCTTTGTCCATTTGGGGAAACTTAATACATGAGATTCGACTGTTAATGAATAGATTCCCAAATATTGATGTAAGGCATGAAAGTCGCCTATCTAATTCAGCTGCACATTGTCTAGCTAGAAATTCATGGCATCTAAATGACCTGGTAGTGTGGTGGAATGATCCTCCAGATTATGTCTCACACATTATTAAGCATGATGCTCTGATGTAATTCTTTTCACGTTTTGAATGAAATTTGCTTTGTTATCAAAAAAAAAAAATTACTAGCACTTACTATCCACACATTTTGTGGGATCTGCTACTCCTTTTTATTATAATCCCACTATAATTTCTCCCCTGCAGGCATTAAATTTGAAATATATCATCTTGTCTGGTCTTATAGCTTTGGAAAATTTAGGTAATCTACCATACATTTGAATGGTCACTTTATGGTGATTGGATCATTCGTGCATTTGAATGCTTAATGTTGCAGTGCCTGACAACATCTTCTAATTTTTGCACCTATCTTTGACAACAGAAATGCCTGCTAATTTCTAAGACACAGAATATGCATGCTTGTTTCTTCCACTCATTTTGTTACTTGCCATCTTTTGGGTCCCTATATTTACTGATGCTAGTAATATTCTCTCTATCAGCATAGCTCTGAGTATTGGTCTATTTGATTACGTTGTTTATGTATTTTCATGGTATCAGTACGCCAACTTTGAATTCTACATGTTTCTAAATTTGGAGAAATAAAAAGTCTCAGTTAATCTGATCGTCTGTAAATTTATGTTATCGCACTATGATTACAATCTCTCTTGCCGTTTCTTGTGCCTTTCTTTATTTTGTGCCCCATTTTACATCTAAATTTTTATATTAGTCCACCCCCTTATATATTCTACTTATTAATGCACTTGTTCAAATTTATGGTCTGAATTCTTTTCTTTCATTCTCAGATTGTTTAGGAAGACGGTTGGGGCCAAAACTTCTTGGCCAAACTGACGATTCAGGGGTAAATATATGTGTAGTTAGTTTTCATTTCTTTCAGTTATGCTGTGTCACATATTTTAACTTGATTTCAAGATATTACTTATGCTTTCAATAATAAAGTGAAACTTTGCTACTGTTGCTGTTGTAGCAAAGGATGGTCAAGGATTTCGTTAAGATCCTCAATCGAGTGAACTCTAACAAAGTCGCAGATAGCTTGAAGCTCCCAGAGTCTTTTAGTCAACTTATTTCTGGAATGAAGCACACTTCAAAAGATTTTCCTTTGATTTTGAAAGCAATGGTAGATTACCCGTTGACCCCGTCTCTTAATAATTTCATTTACATTTGGTATACTAATGCCCGTGGCCTCAAATGCAGCATTGTATTTGAAAATTTCACACTTTTAAAAAAGGCTCCCATTTGTGTCCAGTTATTGCAAGTTTTGCTAGTGAAAAAGATACTGCAGAGTCTGTTTAGCCTCCTTCCCCCTTCTCTGACTTCAAACAGAAGCCATCTAGAGCATTTTCCACATTAGTTTAAACTTTAATTTTTGGTTTCCATGCATCAAAACAAGAGTCAAGATCCTAATAACGACATGAAACAATTTATTAGATAATATTTATTTTGGGGCATGCGAAAAATGAAAGTAGGACTGTGATAATGTGAGAGGAATAGTTGGATTATAGGTTATTCATGATTCGACATCAAAATGAATTAACTGTGTCTCAGACTGCAAAATTGTTAAAATTTGAGAGAGAATCAATAATTAATTCTTTTTCCTGATTTCTTCTCGATATTAACATACAAGCAATTAGTTGTACTCCACCACTCATATCCCCTCTTTGCAATCAAATGAGGTGATATTTTCAATACGTGAATTGGCAGTTATGAAGAACTGTCGTGAGCTTAAATTGTAAACTTAAAAATACGAAGCAAAGTCATTTCCCCTGGCAATTCCGAAGATTTATGTTTAAAAGATGAGACAATGCAGCATGGGGAAAATGATTTTTGGGTGCTTAATGCTTATGCATGGGGTGCATATGCATTGATTTGAGTAGGATACTCCGTTTGGAAGCAGGTTAGTTCTATCGGCCACTGTTCTTATAAAAGATAAGACTCAGGCGGTGGAATCCCTTTCACGAAGAATTTTGTAACCAGCTCCTTTTGCTCTGATCAAGCAACAGATCAATCTATCTTGTGTGAGCTTGAATTGTACTCTTCACCATATATCTTGAAGTCATGGTTCCAGCTTCTTTGGTATCACTATTTTGTGTGTAAATGTTTCGAAGTTAAGTTCAAGAAATGCCCACATCAGATAGATCCACTTATTTTCAAATTCTGAATATATGAAGAAGCCAAAACATCAGAATCTGCTGAGTGGAAGGCTGAGAAGGAAGAGAAGGCAAGAGGTCAAGGGGAAAAATGTAGAAAGAACTCCAGAAACCTCTATTGCTGTTCTTGCTACATAACTAAATTTTGTAGCTATACTAGCACATTTATAATCATAGCATTGTACATATAATTATAAATTTAAATTCTTTGTATTGTAAAGAAACTTCTTTGTACATTAATTATAAATTTAAATTCTTTGTATTGTACAGCAACTTTGTTTCACAAGTGATGTTCAGCTTAGTAATTTTTGCCCTTTTGCCCTACAGATGGAGAGATCTGAAAGGGAGATCAGGGAGTTGAAGTTTTCAGAGCTAATGAACAAACACTTCGCAGCTAGTGCGGTTCCTAAGGGCATTCACTTCTTCTCTTTGAGGCTGACTGATGAATATGCTTCCGGTGCTCATGCACGCAAACAGCTGCCTTCACCTGAGTTACTCCCTTCGCTTTCTGACAACTCATACTACCACTTTGTATTGTCAACCGACAACACCAAAATTGGGGTTATCTACTTAAAACTATGGTAGAGCAGTTTATGAATGTCTTCACGATGGACTTGATTTTACCAAGCTCTTGATCCTATTCCATTCCAAAAATGGAAGTTTGGTCACATCTGCTGTCCAGTCATCTCTAAAGCCTGAAAAGATTGTTTTCCATGTCATAACTGACAAGAAAACTTATGCAGGCATGCATTCGTGGTTCGCCCTGAATCCTGTCTCTCCCGCTATTATAGAAGTGAAAGGCGTTCATCAGTTTGATTGGTTAACAAGAGAGAATATTCCAGTTCTTGAAGCTGTGGAGAACCACAATGGGATACGGAGTTACTACCATGGAAATCATGTCACTGGGGCCAATCTTAGTGACACTACCACCCCACGAAAATTTGTCTCAAAACTGCAAGCTAGAAGTCCAAAGTACATCTCATTGCTAAATCATCTCCATATATATCTCCCGGAGGTAATCAATTGTCATTGGACGTAGATTTCCTGCAGGTCATTTCATGCTTTCATTGCTTTGGAAATGTATAAAAAAATATTTTGATGGTTGGGCACTTGTCTATGTTATGCAGACGTCAGACTCGTAATTGCTGATTCTGTCTGACAAACTGCAAAATCTTTTTGTCCCACCCTGTTTCATTTGATTCTCCATAAATCTGGAAAATATATTGTCATGGGAAGAAAGTCCTCCAGACAACCAACCATGAGAGTTGAGAGTTTATGCTTGAGAAGGGATAGAACATAAAATAATATGGCCAGTAAATGAGCAAATTTAGACAAATAATAAACCGCCCTACTTATGCACAAAGCTAATTGGCTTCATTTCGTGCTAGGACTTTTCTATGTTCTTAGATGTTAAATCAAGATTTTTTTATTTTTTATTTAATCATT